CTCTCTCTCTCTCTCTCTCTCTCTCTCTCTCTCTCTCTCTCTCTCTCGTGCGTGGAGGTCTTCTGCAGGTGTTCCAGGCTGCCATTGGGAGAAGGAGCTCAGGCATTTCCTAGCTCTGGTGGTGGGGAGCGCATCTCTTGCTGGCTTTGCAGACGGTGTGTGTGTGCGTGTGTTAAACAAAGGCTCACGGGCCAGAGGATTTGATAGAAGGGGGACTTTGCACCGTTTCATAGATGGTCCTGCAGCTATTTGGGTCTTCACTCTGCCAAGGAGAAGACAAAGAAGAGGCTCTAAGAGAGCTGAGACCTACTTGGAAAAAGAGGGATTATGGGGTGGCGGGAAGGCTAAGCGGTTTGGTTTTTCTCCCGCAATGAAGGTGAGAATGGACAGGAATACAGAATAACAGAGTTGAAAGGAACCTTGGAGGTCATTTAGTCCAGGGGTTGCCAACTGGTGGGCTGGGGATCATTGGTGGCCTGCGTGAAAATTTTGGTGGTCCGCAGAGAAATCTCACCCCCAAAGCAATTAATCCAGGCTGTGCGGGAACACAAGGCTGCGCCACCCACAGGGCCCGCGGGAACACAAGGCTTCAGTCGCTTGCATTGCAAACAACATGAGGTAGTGAGGGGAGTGGGGGGAAGGGTGGAGGGCGGGGGAACTTGCCCCATGCACCCCACGCGCCTGGCCTGCCCACCGGGCTGCTTCTTTCCGCTTCTTTCTTCTGCTGCTTTTGCCTGAACACAAGGAAAGCAGCCAAAGTCTTTCTTTCTCTCCCCCAAACTCCTCCAGAAATGAGACTTTGGACCCTGCAAGGCCTCCTGCTCCAAGAGGCTGCGCCGGTGCGACAAGTCTCACAAAGACTCATTTCTGGTGGAGTTTGGGGGAGAGAAAGGAAGAATTCTGCTGCTTCTGCTGTTTTCTTTGCATGAAGCCAAAAGTCTCTCTCCGTCTCTCTCTCTCTCTCCCTGAGAACGGAGCTGCAGATGGTATCCTGTGATCCCAAATAAAGAATGATCAACGGGATGGGAATTTTTCTGCAGACTTTTTTGGGGGATTTTCCCAGGGTCTCTGTTGCTTTCTGCAGAGACCCTGGGAAAACGTCAGCAAGCCACCATCAGTCAAAATTCATATTAGTGTCCGTGGGATTTAAAATTATGAGTTTGGTAGTTCCTGAGGCCCAAAAGGCTGATGACCTCTATTCTAGTCTAACTCCTGCTCAGGGCAGGAGACCCTATATCAGAGGCACCAAATGGGCCATTTCATTTGTTATTAACTGGCCAAGTATCTCAACTGTTATGCATATTTGTTTTGCATAAACATTTTTATGTAGCTTTTCAAAAATGGTTTTAAAATGTTTTTACAGTTTTAACTGTATATTATACTACTAGCTGTAGTAGGATGTGTGAATGTAGTACAGCTGATGGTTTTCAATTCACAACCTCAGGAACTAGATTCATTTAGGGGAAATGTAGACTGGGATACTGAGGTGTCAAAGCCACGTGCCTCCTGAGCCTTGGTGACCTCCGAATAAATGGTTTTCTCTGCCTGGTTTCGGTGGCTGCGCTGTCCCTTCTGTATCTTCTCATCATCTGTTTGCAAAGGATTCTGCAAAAGACAAGTTGCGGTTAGCTCAACGTTTCTCAACCATATCAACTTTAAGATGTGTACTCCTAGACTTCCCTAGTCAGGCATGTGTCAACTCGTAAAGTATTCCTGGCTTGCTCTCGAGTTGCCATAAGGAGGAGGAGGGGAGGTCTGACGGAGCAGTTCATTGCTATGATCAGAAGCACATTCCACACGTACCTTTCTCCAGATTGTGTCTCAAGTTACCAAGCCCAGCTGGAGAGGCGTGTTTTCCACAGCCCGGGAAAATGCTTCGTTGACAATGTGATTTATGACACACCTTGGGAGGAGGTGAGGAAACAGGATCATAGGTGAACAGTAAATGACGTAGGGCAGAGCTGACTGCACTTGGGAAAAGTGCCGACGTGTTGCTCCTAATAAATAATTGGATTTCTTTTGAAACTTGGCTCGAGGCTCATGAATTAATTAGGGCATTCGTCGGATGGTGGCTGGGGAATTCTGGGAGTTGAAGTCCACATATATCTTATAGTTTCCCAGTATGAAAAACAATGTATTAGACTAAGTCTGGAGAAATTAAATCTTTGCCCTCCCCATAAATATCTTTAGAAAAGGCCACTACAGGTAGCCCTCAAGTTATGACCATAATGGAGCCTGCCCATTACAGTTCTAAGTCATGACTGTCGTTCAGCAAGATCTTCGAGATTGATTTTGGGAAGAAGGGCGGGCTGATTTGTCGCCTGGTTTCCCTGTACCACATGGCGCCATCTTCCCCCCGTTCAATCACATTGATTCTTTGCACCTGTTTCCAAAATGGCACCCACTTCGGAATAGGGCCGCGGGGCCTCCGTGTAGGAAGGCAGTGTGGCACAGAGGCTACTCCCTGAAGGAGAATCTATGGAGAAGGTAAGTGTGACAGGAGGTGGAGAGGAGGAGTGGCTGGGACACAACAGGGAGGGATGAGGGCTTGATAAGCAGGGAGGCAACTGCAGAAGAACAGATTAACAGAGTTGGAAGGGACCTGTGAGGTCATCCAGCCCAATCCCCTGCCCAAGCAGGTGACCCTACACCGTTTCTGACAGATGGCAGTCTCTTCTTGAAAGCTTCCAGGGATGAAGCTCCCACAACTTCTGAAGGCAAGTTCTGTTCCATTGGTTGGTTGTTCTCCCTGTCAGAAAGTTCCTCCTTATTTCTAGATTGAACCTCTCCTTGGTCAGTTTCCATCCATGATTCCTTGTCTGGCCTTCAGGTGCCTTGGAAAATAGCTTGACCTCCTCTCCTCTCTGGGGCAGCCCCTCAAATATTGGAAGGCTGCTCTCCTGTCTCCCCTGGTCCTTCTCTTCCCTAGACTAGCCAGGCCCAGTTCCTGTACAGTTGGTTGTAAGGGGCTACATTTTGGTCATGTGATGCTGCAGTATTTGAAACTTTGGGTAAGGGTCTTAAGTCTCTTTGCTCAGTGCCGTCACAATTTCAAACCACTGTTGAATGAACGATCACAAATCGAGGACAACTATTTTTATGAATTTCCAGACACCCTAAACTATTTAAGTATTCTAGTTTCCCAGAGTGGCTTTGCAGAACAGGTGGCCAATGTATTGTTCCTTCTGAAGAAGAAATATATGATCATATTTATGACTTTTTGAAAAATACAAAATTTGCATTGTATATTTTTAGCGCATTCGCAGGAAATTGAACTCTGCTTTAGAACTTGCACAATCCTTTTTGAAACCAGGAGCAATTAGGGGAAGCCCAAAGGGCCATAAAAATCCAAAGGTCTAAGACTGCCACCTGTCAGAAATGCTGTAGGGCCTCCTGCTTGGGCAGGGTGTGGATGGTTGGACTGGATCAGAGGTCACCAACGGGTGGCCTGGGGACCACTGGTGGTCCGTGAGAAAATGTTGGTGGTCCGCAGAGAAATGTCCCCCCCAAAGCAATTAATCCAGGCTGTGCAGGAACACAAGGCTGCACCGCCCACATGGCCCACGGGAACACAAGGATTGCGTCACTTGCATTGTGAACAACACGAGGTAGTGAGGGGAGAGGGGAAGGGCGGAGGGGGGTAACTTGCCCCACTCGCCCCACGCGCCTGGCCTGGCCACTGGGCTGCTCCTTTCCACTTCTTTCTTCTGCTGCTTTTGGCTGCAGGCAAGGAAAGCAGCAAAAGTCTTTCTTTCTCTCCCCCAAACTCCGCCAGAACTGAGTCTTTGGGACCCTGCAAGGCCTCTCCTGCTCCAAGAGGCTGCGCAGGCAAAGACTCATTTCTGGCGGAGTTTGGGGGAGAGAAAGAAAGATTTCTGCGGCTTCTGCTGCTTTCCTTGCATGAAGCCAAAAGTCTCTCTCTCTCCCTCAGAATGGAGCTGGAGACAATATCCTGCGATCCCAAATAAAGAACGATCGATCGGTAAGAAAACGGGGCGGGGAATTTTCCTCCACTCTTTGGGGGGATTTTCCCAGGGTCTCTGCAGACACCAACATCAGCAAGCCACCGTCAGTTAAAAATCATATTAGTGGTCTGTGGGATTTAAAATTATGAGTTTGGTGGTCCCTGAGATCCAAAAAGTTGGCGAACCCTGAACTGGATTCCATTCCATTCCATTCCATCCTATTTTCTATTCTATTCTATTCTATTCTATTCTATTCTATTCTATTCTATT